CATGCCCCATGCCCCATGCCCCATGCCCCAGGCAGACAGCTCCTTTAATTTTATCTGTCCCTCTTCATGCGATGATATTTTCAATGCATTGCATTACGGATGTGGGCCCGAGGCCCGAGGCCCGACGCCCGTGGCTCGACAGGCATTCCCAACTAGTTTTATTTTCGACCCAGACTGTGCCACTATCAGTCGGCCAACCACCGGCAAATACATACTACATCGACCGCAATAGCAACAGCAACAGCAACAGCAATTGTACGAGTGGCAATTACAACAATCAACGGAATAGGACGGACGACGACGGGTCGGTCGTCGCCGCATAAACGATAAGCGATGACAAAGTCAACATATGTACGTACGTACGGGGAGAGTACGGGGAGAGTACGGGGAGAGAGGTCCGTTCCAAGAGCTGGGCCTACTACGAGACCAAAAGCCGCGATTACACAAACGACAAACGGCTTGGACATGAATAACACAAACTGAGGCGAAAAATCTTCGAGTTGGGGCAGCTAGTCCAGATCAAGACTAATCAGACGTAAGAACAAAAGGTATACAATATACGGGCGCGGGTAAGGGTAAGGGTAGGGGTAAGCGTAAGGGTAGGGGTACATTTCATATGCAATCTTTGAGTCATGGTGTGTTTGAAGAGCGTCCAAGCTCATTATCAGCATTCACGAAATCCATCTTTCGGGGCAACGGAATTGAAAAAAGTGTCATAAATGGCTTTTAAACCGCTCCCCTAGGAGCTATCGAGGTATAGTGACCTTCATTTGCATCTTCTCATCGAAAAAAGCTTCTGCTACTGGCTTTCCGTTCCGTATCGCCAGGCACATGGCCATTACCCAATTGCGATGATATTTAAGTTGTTTCTGTTATTTCCCATGTCGCCAGCTTCGAGTGTGCTTCGATTACCAGCGTCCGCCAGTCCCTCCGCCGCCTGGTGGTTGTGGTTCTTAACGATATGCGACTATTTTGACCCCAAGAGACCGGGCAGACCGGGCAGAGAAAGAGAGAGAATGCCGTATGCCGTACAGAGGCCCCAAACAGCAAGAAACTGAAACTGAAAACATACGCACACAGCTGCACATTACGCCACAAATTTATTTGGATTGGGGTTGGGTCAGAATTTAAATATTCCAACGCGCCAGGCAGCACCGCACCACACCGCCACCATATCACCATCGGCAATAACAACAAAGTATTAAACGGCAACTGATTTTCGCCCGGTACGGGACTGATCGACAGACGGATGGATGGACGATCGATTTCGATTTCGATTCAGATTCCAGCCCAGATTCGGTCTTGGCTTCGCCTTTGGCTTCGGGCTCGATCTGCTTGATTTGTCATGAGAGTCCGTCGGATCCATTTGCCTATTCCCAAGCCCCCCCCATCCCATACCATACTACCCCGTCGAGTCGTCATCTTTTTTCTTTATCTACGCGCGTATTGCCAAATGCAGCGGGGTCTAGGTCTCTCTGCCTTGGCCCGAGGTCTCAGTCGGTTGGTTCATCAGAAAAATGTTGGTTAAAATTATTCCCAACATGGTCTGGATCGTTTCCCCCGCTTTGTGGACACAAACAGAACAGTCGCTTCGCTCGCCTATAAATTTTATGGCCTGATTGAGTTGAGTCGAGTTGAGTTGGGTTGGGTTGGGTTGGGCTGTGAGCTGCGTTCAATTAGGGTTCGTTTTCGTTTCAGTTTCATTTCGGGCTTATCGAATGGGTAAGAAGACAAGCAAAAACGCCAACAGTTACGATCGTTCATGCCGTTCCTCTGCCTGCCTTGCCTGGCCTGGCGTTTTGACCTGTGTCAATATTTATTGACTTTGTATTTACAGCCAAGACTCTATTTGCATTGAATTAGTGATTAATTTCACTGATAAGCGAACCGATCGCTTGCCCTGGTATGGGGACGGACGAAGAAGGGCTCTGATATTTCCTAATACTCGTAGTATATTCGTATAAAAACATCTTTCAATGCTTTCCTTATGAAGAAGGTATTTACATTGTACGTGAATATATGCCAGTCGTTTAAAGGAGTGAAGACTTTAAGATAAGTGTAGTTTTAGGAATACTCTTCGAATATTTATTCTATGTACATTTATGATTATATTTTACTCAAATTTGTCGCATAGGTTTAAAACTGAATGGTATTCTTTTTTTTTTTGCGAAGGATAGTTGACGGACAGAGTCGGATAATATTATTATGTGCGTTGCAATACCTGCAGTGGAAAAACCAGAGAGAAGTTGGTACACAATTTTCATTACCAATTGTACCAATTTAATGCAGATCCTGAATACTCGTATTAAGCATGCACATATGTATATGCATATGTACATATGTATATTATACGCACCATACCTACATATGAAACCTATTCATATTTTATTTCATTGCAAAAATCTTCCTGTTCATGCCTGTTCGTTGGGGCTCTCAAATTCACTTTACTTTACCATTTTATGGCTGCCCAATTAACTGCGCATTATTGCCAGAGTCCAACTAAAGGGCAGAAAACTCATTTTGCCCCATAAAAGTTCACATAAAAACACATACATACATATGTACATATATATTCTTGTTCATATATGTATGTATGAATATGTATTTATGTATGTACATATGAGAATTTAATCAGCAGTAGCCGTCAAGTAGAAAACAAATTCCGCTTGCATGGGTTTCAATTTGGCTTGAAAAAATACCAAAAAGCGAGGAAGCTGAGAAGCGGGAGACGAAGGTCTTTCATCTGGCGAGAGATCATGCGATCGGGCCAGATTGAGGCGGTGGTGTGGTGGGTCATTGAGGGTACTGCAACGGATGCGGCCTGCTGTCCGTCCGTCCCTAAGATTGTGAGCGCGAGATGGAAGGAGATGGATGGGATCGACTGTGAGTGGAAGTGGGGGCCCAGAGTTTTTGCCAGAAAAATTATCGTGACAACATTTGTGCGGGCACGTTGTGACTCTGCCCCAAAACAGAATACATTAATTGACACTTGGCCGGAAATAGTTCATTAGGCATAAATTACGTACAGACAAAGCATTTCATTTCTCCTCTCTGTTCTGACCTCTCTCTCTCACTCTATCTATCTTTCGCTGCGTCTCTCTTTTTGCCATTTGCTTGCAGTGCGAGAGTCCGAGTCCGAGGCGGGTTGTTGTCGATTGTAGTTGCTAGATTTTCAGCGGCTTAAATGGACAGAAATAGGGAACGAACTATGTACATATGTGCATACATATACTACATATTACTGTTATCTCTGCTGCTCTGCAGCGAATGGGAGTCCAAAGCGCAAGCCAAAACAAACGCATACACAAACGGATGCATCTCGCTCGCTCACTCACTAGCTGGAAGTCCTCCGTCTCTGTTGCTTCTTGGCAGTATCATCAACATGTGTGATCCAAATGTTCTGTTCTCTTGTAAATTTTTACAAACGAGGAAATACGATAATGAACTGAACTTCGACTTCGGATCGGAATCGGAATCGCGGTGGTAGCTGCACCGAAAGAAGACGGCGAAAGGCAGAAAGACCGAAAGACCGAAGCAACAGAAACAGAACAAAAATTCAACTAAAACGCAATTGTAGACGCGAAGAAGAGACAGAGACAGAAACGAATTCATCGCTGCCCTCCTTCCCTCCTTCACTCCACATTACTTAAGCGGGCTCAAATCTGCCCCCTAGCACCCTCTAGCAGATCCCCCTCTCGAACACACACACACACACACACACACACATCAGTTGGCTGATTGGCCGAGGAGGGGAGGGTGATGCATGCATACGAAATGGAAACTGAAATGAGTGCTGCAATTGTTGTGGGACAAGAAAGAGGGAGTTTTTGAGGAAGTACTGGTACACGATGCGATTGGACCACTGCGAGTGGGCCGATAGTCTGTTCGTCCCGGCAACAGTTTGTCCCGCTCTTAATAAATAAATTTAATCTGTGAGGGTACGAGTATGCAATGGGGGGTACAAGACCGCTCTGTACTTCTGTACTTAAGAGTCGACCAAAGTGTGGGTTATACCCTTGAATAGGATACTATGATTCTGTGTCGATCTCTGTCAGCCTGAAAGTTTGCTGAGTATTTCCTTGAAATGCAATTAATCGATAAAACATGAAGGTCATTTTAAAAGGAAGTGCTAAGCAGTGAAATTATCATACAAGCTGTTTGTTTGATAAAATGATAGGTTTTTTTGTAATTTTTCAAATACAAATTCAATATATGTATATGTAAACAAGCCATTTTATAGACCAACAAGCTCTTCTGCAGAGTTTGGCCAAATAAATTAATCAATAAATAAATAATATAAAAATATGTACATAGATGTATGGATGTATGTATGTGCATCGATCATGAACTAAGCGGCTCTCAGCTGTAGGGTATTGCATTGCCATCGCTGTCGTCAAGAAGAAACGGCGAACCGAACCCAGAGAGGGAGGCTTCAACAATTCGTCCATCGGCTACTGTAAACCGACGACAAGCGCGAACGCGTCGACGGATTTTTGTATTACACACATTTTCTTGTTCTGTTCTCGTCTTGATTGTATTCACGGGAATGTTTGCCAGTGTGTGAGTGGCTGTGTGTGTGCGCGCGCGCCGTCGCTGCTTTTCGCGTTCGCTCGTCGTTCTTCGTTTGCTTTTACTTTCTGTTGCTCTTGTGTGATTGCAATTAAACGGCATTTTTCCATTCTGGTGAGAGCGCGAGAGCAAGCGAAGAGCAGAGCGTTTGTGACCTGGTCTGGATCAACGTCTGTCTCGGCCCGACTGACTCCGATAACGGTACACTATGGTCTATCTAGACAGCGGGCGAGACAGAGAGAGAGAGTGAGAGCCAAAGAGAGAGAGAGAGCGCTGTCGCTGTTGCTGTTTCTGTTGCGCTCTCCTTCATGATGTGCGCGTGATTTTCTGGCTTTGAATGCGGGCTTGCTGCCGGCGTCGACGCAGGCCGCTCGGTTCTCTGCTCTGCTCATTGCGGTGGTTGTTATTTTTTTGGTTTCCGTTTTTATTCGCCGTTTAAACTTGGTCGTGAGAGGGTAAGCCTCCAATCCGCCGCCCCGCGATCGTGTCGTCTTAGTGGAAAAAGTGCATAGTGAAGACGGAACACTGGCCGCCAACATAAATCTGCAGATTCTCCAGCACATCTTGATGGCCCCCGTGAGCGCTATCTCTGGCCGATCGCCCAGTGCCACCAATTCGTTGCAGGATCTGAGCGCGGCCGCCGCTGCCATCGCCCTGGACATGACTCCCAAGGTGGAGCTGATGCCCCTGTCGTCCTCCACGGCTGTGGCGCCCACGCAGAAGATCAAGAAATGTGCGTAGTCCTCGCCTGCACCATCCTCCGCCCCCAATCAACCCCTCTGTTCTGTTTTCCCCCCCAAATAGTGGTGCGACGAAACGCCTCCGACAAACTAAAGCTCATCCAAATGGTGCACGACAACCCCATTTTGTGGGACTCGCGGCTGCCCAACTTCAAGGGCGCCGAGGAGGAAAAGAACCGCGCCTGGGAGCACATCGGACGCGAGTTCAATGCTCCGGGTCGCCGAGTGGCGCGGGCCTTCAAATCTCTGCGAGAATCCTATCGCCGGGAGCTGGCCCACGTCAAGATGATGGGCAACGGCTTCAAGCCCAAATGGAGCCTGTACGAAGCCATGGATTTTCTGCGAGACGTTATCAGAGAGAGAAAGTGAGTACAAAATGGGGGGTTTTGTAAACAGAAAGTTGTGTTGTGAAAACACATGAAAGGATGCATGACGCACCCACCAATGATAGTGAAAATGATTGTGTTCGATATTGAATTGCACATTTGAGAAGGTTTTCTGTCAGGATTGAGTTAAATAGGGTATATGAGTTGTTAAATGGTCTTGGTTCAGATATTTTCAATGTTATTTTGTATTTATCAAGTCGTTAGCTCATCTTACACTCGCTCGATGTGTTCATTGTCCGTGCTTTTGACTAATATTACAAAGAGTTTCGATAAGCGTCTGCCCTCTTGATCGATTCATAATAGGCATTGGGGTGTGCGGTCAAAGTGCACCTTCAAGTCATGAATAATGGCTTTCGTTCTTGGCTTGGCTTGCCTTCGGTCTGGGTCTGTCATTTCCATTGTCAGTGGCTTTGTCTTTGTCTCACACGCTTTACTGGCCAAACAAATGTGTGTGTGTGTGTGTGTGTGTGCAGTGCGGGTGCAAACTACTACCCGATCCCATCTATATTTCCTTTCGATGACTCATTCGCTAGATCTTGGTTGGAAATCGCAAAAGATGGCACACATAAAATAAATTGTTATTGTAGCTGAGACACACACACGCACACAAACACATACATATGTATACACACAACAGAGGTCTGGGGTAAGGTTTGTGCTCTCCCCACGTTGTTAAATGTTGTCGTTGTCGTCGTTGATCGGTGAAGCAATCCATTCCATGCAAAGTCGGTTTGTGGTTGACTGTTGTGTTGTTGTGGGGTGGCCATAGCCCAAATTATTGTTTGGAGTGTTGTTCTTTTCCTGGAAACTTATCAGCTCATGGGGGTAGCGCCTGCTGCCCCCAAACGCCATTGCAATGGATTGTTGTTGGCATACATTTCCTTCCTTATGGTTTTTGCTCATATGAGTCACGCTAATAGGCAAACATTTTGGGGAAGATGATATTTTACTACCCTTACTTTGAATACTATTTGCGATCTTGCCGGGATCTGCCGATCTGGGATCTACTTTATAAGAAAGCTGCAACTTCCATTGCGAGCAATTATTCTGAGCTCTGGCTCTGGGGCATATCCTTTCAAAACACTAACCAGTTGCCATCGCTGATGATTTGCATATGCCCCGGAACTCCGAACTCGGACAAATCTCAGCTCCAGTATCTGAGAAAAACATCTGCCCAATACAAAAATACAAAATACAAAATATGCATATGTGGATTGTGGATGGGATGGACGTGTGCACATTCAAGTACTAGCAGAGCGAAAATCGGAGCGGTAACGTGGAAAAAACCAATCCCGAACAAAGGAATGACCAGGCCAGAGACCCGCCAGCCGAGAGTCTGCCCCGACCAATGTTCTGGCTCATATGGAGCTCTACTTGTATGAGAATGTGTGTGTGTGTGTGAGTTGGCTTGTGTATGTGTGGATTGTGGATTGTACTTTATGTACATATTTATATGAAATAAGGCCATTTCCTTTCAATTGACTGTACCCACATGGGCAACAAGCAGTCGACGGCCCCGACACATGCCCGCACACACACACACACACTCGCACACACACAAGAGTCCATATGTATATATATTTAAATTTTTATTATTTTGAGCTGATAACAGACAACACAGAAACGGAACGGACCCGGCCCGGGCTGGCCCGGCTCGGTACAGCGCTTGAGCCGCCGCCATAGCCCCATGTATAGAGCCATAGCCATAAAAACAGATCTCGCCAAGCAGCGAATATTCGTATTATACAACGACCGACGACGAGGTCTCGCCACCAGCCTCCATCCAGCCTCAGCTTCCAGCCGACAACCGACAGCCGCCAGCCTCTAGCCTTAGCATCATCGCCACTTGAACCAAAAACAAAATTGAGGGAAGCTGCAAAACCAACAACAAAAAAACGTACTGCCTGGTCTGGTGGTGGTAGCGCAGCAAGCAGCCCAGCCCGGCCTCAGAGACAGTGAGAGTGTAAGAGAAGGAGGGATAGAGAGACAGGGAAAGAGCGATAAATTAATGAGAGCAATATGAAAATGACAATCGTGGACCAAGTTTAGAAAAGAATCGCAGACGACGAGTCGGTCGGTCGGTCGGTCGACTGTGGGAGAGAGAAAATGAGCATGTCAGTGTGAATGTTCTGGGTTGGGTGTGTGTGCATGGGTCTGTGTGTATGTGTATGGGTGAGCAATTGAACATTCTCCAGCCAGTCTCAGCCTCGGCTTTGGCTTCGACTTCGGCCAGGGTTAAAAATATGCCCACGACCAGCAGCAGCGGACGGACCAGCGAAACAGCAGAGCCACATCACATCAGTCCGGGCCCGGGGTTGCTCTGCTCGGCCATCTTCCATCTCTCTCTCTGCTCCCCGATCAGGTCTCTTTGCGTCCCCGTACGCGTAACCACAATTGTGGTCAAATAAATAGCAATGCAAATGAAAGTTCTGCTAATTTCCCTGAAAAGTTTTCCAGCAGGTATATTACATCTCTTCCTCGGAGTGTTTTTAAAGAATAACAGTAGGTACCCATCAGGCTGCTTATATGAAGATTTTTCGACTTAAACTGAGACATGTTCTGTGGGTAGCGTCTGTGTTGCTATTATTTTGACCGCTGCTGTGTTCCTGTTCGGCTCTTTGCAATCTGCTGTCTGTGTGTCACGCTTATGATTTAATAAGCAAATGAGCTGCAAAATTGATGAAACTGTTGTTTGGCCTCCCCTCCCGCCCTGCACCACTTCCACGGGAGCCGCCGCCAAACCACGCCCGAAATCACAGTCCGGCGATCTCCCCCTCCGTATCGAAATGCTTTTCCAGTGCGTCACACACAGAAAGTGGGCGTTTACCCCTACATTCCATTCCATTCCATTCCATTTCATTCAATTCCATTCCATTCCCACATTCGGTTCCCGGGTTATTTATTTGCACTGCCAAATATTTGTACCGATTAAGCAATTGGAGGATTATTATTACCTTTATCACTCGATCAATAAGCTGGGATTTCGAAATCATAATTATTTGTACGGGGAGTGTTTCAGACGACTCAAACGACACAGAGAATAATCTGGCCAAATGCAGATAACGCAGCGATCTGTGGAATTCCCTCGAATATGCCACAGCGTAGAATGTGGAAGTGTAAACTCTCTAATGGTCTGGTCAGGGTCCTGTCCTGGGTCAGAGCGGAAGCAAATATTGATAAGCCCAGGGAACGGCTCGAGAAAAGAGCTCGAACCCAAACCAAATTCGAGCCAAGACCACAGAAGCCGCAGGCAAATAGAGCCATTCCAGATAGTGGAACATGTGAAAATGCATTTGGCCGTGATTAGTCCTGCATGTCAGTTGGGTCTCTTCTGGGCCTGGCATATCGTTTTACAGAATTTTCCAATTGTCAACTACCTGCGCGAGAGAAAGAGAGACCCGGGACAGATAAGGCGTAGAGTGTCTCGGAAGAGGGGGACAAGTCTGTTCTTTCTTCCCCTCTTGTCAATGGGCACAACTGGGCCAAGCCGCGCCATTTAGCAAAATTAGAGTTGGGGGGGCAACGCTAAAAATAGCCACGTTCAGGCGTTCGTTCCTCCGAGCACCCAGAGTAGAGTCCCTGACAGCTGCATTGTTTTGGGAAAATGCTCTTGAAATTTGAGACGTCTGCAAGGAGAAGCAGGAAACCAGCCCCGAACCAACGAGGACGACCAAAGCGGGAGAGAGATAGAAAGAGAGAGAGAGGGAGAGAGATCCAGGTCTGTTTGGGACATTGAAATAAGTTCTGGTTCTGTTCTGTGTTTTTCTGGTATCATATTGTATCGAATCTGCTTTTGGGGTTTGTTTGAGCACGTTCTTCGTTGTGGGACCACTATTGGGGGTTGTCTTGGATTTTGTCTATTTCTGGGATTGGTAGGAGAATCGTTTTGTTTCAGCTAAATCGGAATTTGACTCAATAGAACGCAGTAGAAGCTCACTTTTGGGGATTCCTGAACCTCTTGTCCTTGTATAAATTTTATTAACAGTTCTCCATTATCTGTTCTGTTTTTGTTTTTTCTCCTTTTAGAGGCGCCTCACATGCCACAGATCTCAGCCTGAGCGCCTATGCTGCTCATCTGCACAACAACAATAATAGCCACAATAACAACAACCACAGCATTCTGGGAGGAGGAGCTGGTGGCAAGGGAGGCGCCATGAAGCTATCCTCGTCCTTCAACGATTCGGCCTCTGCACTGAATCTGTCCAAGTGCTCCACCCTGAATGCGAGCGGCGACGATTACTATTGCGATTACTACGTGAAGCCGGAGCTGGATCTCTCCACGGGGGGCGGGGCCGGCAGCAGCAGCAGCGGAAGCTGCTCGGGAGCTGGCGGAGGACCGCCCGCTTTGCCCCAGCCAGCCCATCAGCACCAGGCAAATAACGACAGTCGGGTGAGCTCCACCAGGAATGAGAATCATCACCTGCAGCAGAGCTACGACGACATGGACGCGAGCTCGTTGCGGAGCGGCGACGAGGATGCCGATGCCGGCAATGGCTCCGATGGGGTGGAGGAGCTGGAGGCTATTGATGCGGACTTTCCCTATCCCCTTATACTTGACTCGAACTCGCCGGGGAGCACCAATGCCGGCGTGGATGAGGTGGCTTCCTCTCGTAAGCGCCGTCGCAATGGCGAGCAGGAGGACCTGGACGACGGCGATGCCGACGGTGATGGCGGTGTCATCGACGGCGATGACTATGAGGAGCAGATGCTGCAGCAGCATCGGCATTTGCGTCAGCAACAGAATGCAGCTGTAGTCACCGGGGGATTGGATCTGCCGCCACCACAAACTGTTCGCGAGGTCCTCAACTCGAAGTTCTGTGGCTTCATCTCCGCCAAACTGAACAGCATGGAGGACTCCGAGGCGGATAACCTGATGAACCGCATTCTCCTTTTACTCGTGCAAATGCAGCAATGCGAAGGATCTGTAAAGTAGAGACGCACCAGAAGGCGGTTTCGGGATCTAGTTTTTAGTAGCGAAGAAAAGCCCATTATGGACTAATGCGGCTGCTCAAAGCAAATAGTTTTCTTGCCATTCATTTTGCTCCCCCATTTTGCCATAAGAAAAGTAATGCCAAAACTGTGCCATACCAAAAAGAATCGAACAAATATGCAACTGAAGGAACTGGTTATCACCTATAGGGATCGTATCGTTCCTGCTCTCATATCAATAACTACATCGTAGACATGGAAAACATACACTCAAAGCAAAGACAACACAAAGACAAAGACAAAGAGAAACACAAAGACAAAGACAAAGAGAAAGACAAAGAAAGTAAGAAGGTTAAGAGAATTAGTTTAGTGTAAATGTAAATGTTAATTTCGTTCTAAGCCCCGGATCAACTGCAGATCTAATGCCAACATCTCATCACATGAAAAAGAGGAACACCACACGAAGTAGATTACTTTTTTTTTTTTTTTTTTTTTTATATCCTCTAAGAATATTAGTGGAAAACACTCTTTGAAGTTCGTAGTAGAACACATGTGTACGTACAGAATACCGCATACCGAATATTTGCTATATGTTAGCCTTAATTTCTTTCATATGAAGAACATATTTATAATTTCATTTTTTTCGTAATTATCTAAGCACAAACCTTGCCATATTTTGTAAATCCTGGAGAAAATATACAAAATGGTTTAATAAACACACAAAATCTAGTATGGAATGAGGTTTAAATAGGGACACATGCAATATGTGTGTGAAAGACTTGTGATAAATACAATTGGATTTCCCCCAGTTGTCCTTCGATCCTTATCAACATCTTGTATCTGCGATCACATTGTTTGTGTGAGACAAATTTGTCTCGCATCTTCGGAATGTTTTCCATACATCATTTAACAGGCCAAATCATATGTGTGTGCCGTTCCAGCCAACCCCTCCATATGCGTGCAGCCCGCATAGACCATGACCAAGTCGCACAGTTGGCCAGATGTCACACATACATGGCCCGTAGAACCCTCTTCACACGAGACTAAAGAGAGATACCGAACCATTAATACAGAAGGCGTCATAAAAACCAGTCAACAATGAGACAAAAGATTAGAGCATGCGCATGCGCCAGGGCCAGGGCCTGAGATACTCTCCTCGCATGCTCGCAGGGCCCAGAGAGCCGCCAGATGTGGGCATGCCACAACCAAATTCGAAAACCAAAACCGATACAGACCCGCTTGGGACCAGAGGCAGAGACAGACAGAGACAGGCAGAGAAGCAGAGATCTGGCTATGAATGAAACTCTGGCAAAGGGAATGGGGCAAGGGACTCAGCAGGGCCCGAGTAAGTACTGAGATTCTCTCACACACACATTGAGGCTGTGTGCAAATGCTAAAACCAAGATAAACAACCCTTAAAATGGGAATTGGCCTGGCCAGACCTCTGCCTAAAGCAACAAAGGGCCTCAAACCCTCGAAGCTGCTGCTGCAGAAATCGCGTCGCGCATGCGCGGAAAATTGCCAAAAGCGGTCCCCGGTCACGACAGAAGCGCACACAGCTCAGAGCTCAGAGCTAAGAGCTCAGAACTGGTTTCCCATAGCGATGATAGCTGTATGGCTGGCTGGATGGATGGATGGATGTATGGACCTTTTGTTGGCCGTCTTTGAGAGCCGCTTAAGGGATGCGATGCAGCCATGTTATCTGGATGCTGACGGTCCCAGGGTTCAATGACCATGGCTATAATTCGAGGGTAACACAGTCGATAGCGTTGATAAATGATAAATGAAGCACAAACACAACCATGATGGTAAGTACATGGATTTGAAAGTGAAGAACGCAACATCACTCACTGTTTATTTGCTTTACATTCGTTAAAAAATATATATTCTCTGTTAAACCCAGAAGGATTGGCAAAATTATAATCTTAATTTGGCCCAAAGCACTTTTAGAGTGACTTCCTTTTAGCCCTACGGTGTTAAAGTTCTCAAGGCCAAACTATTATTATAATTTCAATCTGTGGTCTGATATTTCTGATTCAGCATTTCTTGTGCGGATGTTTCCTTGTTTCCTCCCTGACATCGCTCCACATATCGGCGCCCCCTTGCTTCCCTGGACGCAGCTTGTTAAGGCTCTGCATGCTAGAACCCTGAATATTCGCCGAGCTACCGCTACATGGGGGTTCGTCCAGTCTCAGGTACTTCCAACTGAGCGGCCAGCCCTTGGCCAGATTCTCAGACGGAGAGGCATTCGCCTTTGGCTTTCGATTTATGCGGATGTCCGGCTTGCAGCGGCTCCCTTTCTGGACCGCTTCTAAATGGTTCTTGGCGGTTGATCGTACCTTCTTCAGGGCTGTCTCTTCACCCGTGCGCCGTTGGTAGTGCGGCAGGGACTGTGTTTCACGCAAAACGGCGTAAAGTCTACCGCGACTTGGCGACAGATCCTTGCTGGACATCTTGCCGAGGATCTTACTGGATGTATTGGGTACACTTCCGCTGACTGATCCACTGTTTCTGCGCGCTCGGTACGCTGGGCAATCTTTGCTACAGTCGCGCCTAGAATGTCTGTCACCGGCCCCGCCATTTGTCGCCGTGTTCTTCTCCTTCTTGTCTGTCTTCTTGTCTGTCTTCTTGTCTGACTTCTTGTCTGTCCTTTTGTCTTTCTTCTTGCCTTTCCCCTTGCGGTTCTTTGAATTGGACTTGGAACGCGAAGAGTTGTTGACATCATTCTCGGTGTCCTCGTAGATGGTGTCTGACCATGCCTCTGAGAGAAACGTCGCTTTTGACGATTTTCCCTGTAGTCCTTCATATCCCTGTTCGTCGAAATCGTGTGATTCCGCACCGTCTCCCTTGGAGTCACGTTTCTGACCATCTCTGTCCATCACGAAGTAGTCGGCGGCCGCATCGGCAAGGTTCTGGAGTCGTCCCCGCAGCTGCGTGATGATCTTGTGCTGCTTGAGGCGCACACTGCCCAGGGTCGTGGCGTCCGACTGGAGCGTGTGCAGCTTGTCCTCCTGGTCGCGACCAGATCCGTCCAGTGGCTCGCATGTCATGCGCTCCAGCTCCTTGAGGAGAGTGATCCTCTCGCAGTCCGAGGCGGCGGCTATTTGGCGCAAGCGGAACTGCACCTTGGCATAGTGCGACGTCAGGGTGAAGAGGGCCTCCTGCAACTGCTGGACATCGTCCTCCAGCTGGCACTCGTAGGGAGTCAGCTGTCGTCCGACCATTTCTCCCTCCTTTTCCTCATCGGATGCGATCTTTGAATGTGAGTCTGAGTGCAAAAATGGAATGTGAAAGTGATGATGGTTCGAGCCATGCTCCTCCTTTGGCTTTGTTTTGTGAGACTTCGCTTCATCATGTGCCTTTGAGTTATCCGCCGGCTCGCCCTCTTTTTTGGAGGATATACTATGGGACGAAGTCTGCGCCTTTGGCGGCTCATCGGATTTGGGCTTACGAACGCATCCGCATCCACAACTACAACCACATGCACATGTACGTAACGACATTTTGCTTGGAGGTCCTGCTTGTGTCCTAGCCCTTTCGGAAGTTTCTTTGGTTGGATCTGTAGAAATTATATTTAATTTTGAAAGTTTTCCAAAAGTATCAAAGTTGTTTCTTTTTGTGAGTGTCGCTTCTACTCACTAAATATTTGAGACTCTGATAAATGAGAACAGCCTGCCGATGTTTGGGACGAGTCACTCCACTGCGATGGTAGAAATGTAGGCGAATGTAGAAATGTAGAAACCCAGTGATTGGATTAGAAATATTGTAATTGGGTGCACTTCCCCTGACCTACACATGGGAGTTCGATCGGAGTTGGTTGGGATTTGACTCGGAATATTTTCAAGCAGTTACAAATATTTGACAATTTTCTAAACGACAACCAGTATTCGATCGATCCAAAGAAGAAGCCATATAGTAGATGGGTGGAAAGGTGGACCGTTATCCCATTGTTGCCGATTCATTGACACTCGGTCTTAACCAGATTCTACTCTCCGCTCTCTCGGACATTGTTTGGGAAAACAACGCCGTGTCCCTGGGCAGGGAACACTCCACCAGAGGTGGCCGCATGCAACATTAACACGCGAAATGTGCAACAAGCTGAAAAATTGCTAGTTGTAATCAATGCCTGGTCGGGCCCATTCCCGTCCCCGTCCCCGTGGCCGTTGCCGTTGCCATTGCCGTTGCCTCCCCCAGTTCTAGCTCTACTTCTACTACTATCTCCATCCGGCCCATACACTGCGCCGCAGGGCGCCAGAGCAGAACACACTAACCAAATTTCATGTATCCGAAAGATTTAGCCGTGTTGCGAGCAATTGATTTGGCCCCTACACGGGCACGGACGCGGACTCGGACACGGACACGGGCACAGACACAGACACAGACACGGGCATGGTATTGGGTACGGACAACGGGCAGCGGACACGGGACACGGGACGCGGGACATGGACAGGAAGGCACCTGGCTGCGCTACGAGTGCAAGCCCTTGAGGGAATGCCGAATAGGAGCGAAAGCCCGTTGCACGAACAAGAGGGTCCTGTCCTCCTACTTCCCCTGCTCTTCCTCCTCCTCCGGCGCCTGGTATCGGGGAGCAAATGCCGCGTTGCGTCATTTGTAAGCGGATGAACATGAAAACTATATAAGATTTTAGGCAAATTGGGGGATTGGGAGGTAAATGGATGGGATGGGGTGAGATGGGGTGAGATGGGGTGAGATGGGGGATTGGGGGTGTTGGTGGCCGTGAAGTGGCGTGGCGTGGCGTGGGGTCTGTCGGTAGTCGTGCGTGCGTCTCGTTTCGCAACGGATTTTAAATGAAAGCTGATTACAGACAACCGGGCCAAAGGGGCAGAAAAAATTGGTAAAGAAAAATCGCTAGAAGCATCTGAGCATCTGCTCTTTGGGCAGTTTTTGCCGTACTGCAGCACACTGGAGGGGCTTTGCGAGGGTGTTTGGACAATCAGATAACAATATTACTTAAGCAGTTCTTTGTCGTCTTCTTGGCTAGCTTATTTATTACCCCCCGGGCACTGCCGGCCCTCCCATGGTGAGTGTTGGGGCAGGTCCCATTTGGCTTTCGCACTTCGGACCCGCAGCACAGCACAGCACAGCCCAGAGCCCCACCTCGTAAATCGCACCAAATTGCGAGTCGGCGGTGGAGTCGGCGGTGTCCGCGGAGTCGGTGCTGGGGCTAAAGAAGTGATATGGCCAGAACGTCAGCTGTCAGCAGTTTGTGGCTTGGAAATGTGGAGCACGAAGGCGAGAGAGTAAGACAGCGAGAGCGACACGAGTGGAGCCGAACCGAGTGCCGGCTCTCTCCTGGAAGTCGTACGGCACTGGAATTCACTCTTAAGTCGATGGCATCGCAATTTAAGAGAGTCCATTGTTTACTTAAGAGCGGCCAGAGGGTGGGGGGATTACAAGAATTAAATAGAAATAAATATGATTTATTATTAAATATTACAATTATTAGGAGACTGCACTAAATATGGTCTTTGGATGTGTACATAGTTGTATATGTATATGTTTATTCATAATATAACTGAAATGTAAATTAATTCATTAGCCATTGGTTTTGCCGTAAGAGAGAACCTTCATCGTCGCCTGCTGGCAGATGAATAAATCTGCTTTGCTATTTCTGCACTTCAAAGCCCAAACCCAAACACATTCCAGAAATTCCAATGAAATTAGCCGAGTGTGCAACAGCGCGCCCCCCAAGAGGGGGAGAGGGAGAGAGTGAGTGAATGAATGCGAGAGAGAGAGAGAGAGAGAGAGAGAGAGCAATCCATGCACTTCGGCTATGCAATTGCACTCTCCCGCTCTGGATGCTCTGAACGGAACATCAAACATAAAGCGCCATTCCACCGTATTTGGTTATTCCGTCGGACCATTTAATGGGTCCCGTTGTAGAAATAACATAGAATTAATCAGATGGGATAGAGATTCGCTTTAAGGGGTCCCGTCCCACAGAATCACGAATGCCGGCTCCGGCTCCGACTCCGGCTCCGGCTACGGCACCTACTCTTTTGCGGGCTTTGATTCCGGCTCCTACTCTTTCGCGGGCTCTGGATTCATGCTCGGCTCTCGCTCGGTTCGCACTGGAAGCCTTTCGGCCTGACAGTGGCTCTGCCTGGCTGCACATCGTTCGACTACGATTCCCGACGGCTGTTGCAAAGGAAACAAAGCAGTAAGCAGTTCCTGGCCTGCACTTGCCACTTGCCACTTGCCGCCGTTCCGTGTGCTCCGTGTTCCGTGTTCAGTTGCAAACGAGCGACCTAGGCGACGGGTTCGAAAGCTCGCACGGCCACCCCCACTCTCACTGAAAATCCAGAGACTGCAGGCCAACTGGCGAATAATTGTAGAGCCAAAAGCGTCAAGTGCCACGCGCTGGCCGCAAAAGCAAGCAGCTATTACTGTAAATTCTGTAAAGTTCCGGTTTTAATACGCGGCTAAGTAAGAGCATGCGACTCTGTTCGCCGCCTGACAATCGCATCGGTGAGTTTTTTTTTGGTGTCAAGTGTTGGACATACATATGTAGAAAAAGAAGGCGGGCATAGGGCATAGATAAGTGCCAAATGGGCAGCAGATTTAAGAGATTTTCCATCAATTTTTTTGACAGTGCATCATCGTGGCAGCGTGGTAACAAGCTTCAGCCAGAGCTTGTTTCCATTAAAATATTTCCTTCGAGAAATCCGCCGAGTCCTGCCCCGAAATTACCTTCAATTCGACTCCGGCTTCGACTCGTATTAGATTGCTTTTCAATCCATTGCAAGGGGGAAAAAGGAAAGGCTTGGGCTTGGCACGTGCCTGAACTTTGACAGTGCTGCAGATTTTCCTGATGCACAGACAGGTACGTACAAATACATACATACATACAAACATACATATGACTGATAGAGATAATAAAACTTCTGATTGATGGTAATGGGCTTAAAATCAGTGGTAGAGGATAGACAGACAGAGAACACAGCAAACGGTAAACGGTAAACGGTAAACAGAGAACAGAGCCTGTCCAATTGAATATTTAACTTTTATTTGATTGACCAGAAATAAGCAGCAGATACCAAGATATGTATGTCTCTAGGCTGCTGCTGCTGCTAGTGCTGCTCATTTGAGAATTTTAAAATATTAATATATTAACCGCAAGAAACCAGCTCGGACGCGTGTGACCACAGAATGACCAAAAGCAAATAAATAATAATCCAGAACACAGAAGCCCAAACAGAAACAGAAACTGAAACTGAATCAGGAGCAAGTGTTGAAAGTGTCGGAATTTGCAATTCGATTAGGAGAGATGATAAATTCAATTAAGTTGCAGTCCTGATCGGCCTGGGCTACAACCAAGTTCTTTTCGGGTAAGTGCAAATTTTTGTCGATGTCAGAAATGTATTTACTTATCTGGTGATGATGGAAATTGAATTTGTCGTGGGAAATCCCAGCCGATAGGAAATCCATTGGGAGCTTCCACTCAACAGATTTCAAACAATGTTGCTCCTCCTCTCCCTCTGGCTCTGCCACTGCCACTGCCTCGCCCTTTTCCTTTCCCTTTCCCTTTTCCAACAAAAATCCTTTAAGAAATTGCCTTGGGAATTCGTTCTCGGCTCATCATTAAAATGAAAACTGCACTTGGAGTGCTTCTAAATATCAGAGATAGACAGAGAGACAGGGAGACAGACATTCGCATGCAAACAATATTAAAATACTTTCGTCGAGCGTCGAGCGGTGAGAAAAACGGATATGCAAATCGTTTCAAACTGCAATTGCATTGCAGAAAAGTGAATGAAAAGAGCCATATACCCTGAGGAAAAGTTTTAGCAATTCATTCAGTCAGCCAGTGGGGAAGTGGAGTGAAGTGCAGTCGCGGAGTCGGGGAGGAGTCAGACAGTCAGGGAGTCATTCAGTCAATCAGCAAGCAAACAACAGCACAAATTCTCGCAAAATTACAATAAACAATGCACAAAGTGCGAAAAGTACGAAAGAATTTTAATTAAACACAAATAACAGAGAGGGAGAGCGAGAGAGAGAGAGGGAAAGGGAAAGACAGGAAGGAGAAGAGGAAATAGCACCAGGAGAGGATCCGGGCAAGGGTTGCCTGCTTTTGGCGCACTTTTAATTGCAGAGGCTCTGCAAATGCATGTTTTGTGCGAGGAGCTTCAGGAGCCATCGATTGTCATTTATTCTCCTGGAGATGGATGGCCACGGAGACGGGGGACGGGGGACGGGGGAGGGGGACGGGGGAGGGAGACTGGGGCCTGGAGACCGGAGAGGAGGAGCAAGTGCTCCCCACTTCAGGTGAAGTGCGAATTGAGGCGCCGTTGGAGTGCAACCAGAGAATAGCTCGCTGCTCAAGTGGAAAAGCGCCTGAAGAGGGCCGTGCCGACGTTGTTGGGCCAAGGTAAAGGTAACGGGAACGGGAAAGGGAAAGGGAAAATGAGGCAAAGATGCAGGCCATCAGCACAATAAGAAGCAACAACTGCAGAGATGCTTTTGTCTGTCCCGTGGGGAGCAGGAGTTGAACAAAAAGCAGAAAAGAAAGAAAATTATGTCAAAGGTATAGAGAAGTGGGACGAACAATAGGAAAACGCAATGCAAAGATATTGGTAGTAGTGCCAGCGGAAGTGCCTCGGAATTTTTAGTTTACTTTAAAGTCGATTTACAAATGTTTCCCTATTGCTATGACAGTAGCAAATCGAAGACTTTAATGGGTACATGTGTCCAAACATATTCGAAAGTCTGGGCCAGAGTCCAGTGATCTGTCCGACGGCGAACTGCAGAGTAGCCGTAGAGTAGACTTATAGAAGATTCCCGGTAAAAAAAGC